GGTAGGGGCATAGGGGAGGTCAGGTGGGGGTGCGAGAGAGTAGCCAGGGGCCACAGGGATCTGTGGGGGTGAGGGGGTTGGAGAAGGGAGATAGGGAGGGTGTCAGGGCCATGGGTGAGGAGGGGAGGGGGGTCGGAATCCGAGGGAAAAGGGCCTATGTTTGGGGAAGGGGTGTCTCTGGGGAAGGGTTGAGCCTGAAGGGTAGGGGCATAGGGGAGGTCAGGTGGGGGTGCGAGAGAGTAGCCAGGGGCCACAGGGATCTGTGGGGGTGAGGGGGTTGGAGAAGGGAGATAGGGAGGGTGTCAGGGCCATGGGTGAGGAGGGGAGGGGGGTCGGAATCCGAGGGAAAAGGGCCTATGTTTGGGGAAGGGGTGTCTCTGGGGAAGGGTTGAGCCTGAAGAGGTTGGTTTGTGGACTTGTGCAGCACAGTGGGTCATGATGGAAAGGAGTGGTGTGTGGGACTAGCAGACTCCACTTTGGGTGACTTCTCCAGTTTAGTTTGTGAGGAAAGGAGGAGAATAGGTGGGTCTGGGTTTGCAGTTTATCCTGTGGAGAGGATGGAGGGGTGCATGTGTAACTGCCACCTCCGGCGCTTAGTATAGGAACCTCTACAACTTGAGCTATAAAGCTAGCTGGCTCTCAGCTTAGGCTGTAGAAGTCTCTTGTTCTTATCTGTTGCTGTGGTCTAAGTGCCACTGCATGGGACAGTGAACCACACTAGGTGTCTGGGTTACACATGGATGATTGGAGGGGCTCCCCTTATTCTGTGAGAAAAGGGAATGGTGAGGTGAATATGGAACTTCTCAAGGAGTATGGGATACAGTACAGCAAGGATTGTATGTGGGAGTGGGATGTTCAGCTAGAGATGACAAGAGTGGGCATTGCCTTTTGCCACCAGGCCTGTATAAGGAGAAGAGAGAGATTGTTGGCTGTGTAAGTAAGGAGAGCATGAGCTGATCTAGTATGTGGTATCCTGTTTGTTTGGAGACAACATTAACGATAAAAAGTGCTTTTGGTATAGTCATCTACTGAGCCTTCAGAGAGATTGCACATTGATGGGTCTGAGAATAAGATAGATGATACTTTATGATTGGGGTAGAGTCTGATTTTTAATGTTGCGAATGTGCAGTGATTTGGGTGGAAATGACGGTCTCTTATCTCGTCTGGTACTTCCACTATGCTTGGAACATGTCGGGAATATGTTTGTGCATGCATGCTTGTGCAAATTGACTTGTGACATATGAGTCTACCAAAAGCAGATTGTGCAACTGACTGACATGTATCATGTGGGATAGTTAGATGTAGAAGTGTTTGTGTGTCCTTTCTGCCTTTGGTTCTGGCTAGCCAGCTGTAGAGGAAGAACATGCATTTACCGCTAATGTCTGGTGTATATGAATGGAAGGTAGGAAGCATGTTCTGATAGGAGAATAGGACTTGAGAGATCTCAGTTCAGTGAATGCCTTAGTCTCAGGCTTTGAGTCTCTTAATCTATCCAGTAATGCAGTCTTCCATTTGTAATATGTTGTTTGTCCAGTAAGGTGGTACTGGGGTTTTATGAAGATAAAATCTGTTAGAGTGTGAGTAGCTCAAATATTATGGAGATGAGGGCTTTTTAAATAATTTGAGGATTGTGTAATTAAATGATGGTTGTGATTATATGTTCACGACAAGCCTTAGGAGTGCTAAATTCTGCTACTGGCCCACTAACCTATCAGGTAATAATTTCTGGCAAGATTGCAAGATGATCAGTGTTCAAAAGCTACTTGTCAAGCAGACTCTTAGCAGCTGCTTCAAGTCTCTCCCACAATGGCACAGAGTCCGTGTCTTAGCTCCCCAATCAGTTGTGTAGTTACCACATTGAAACTGTCCCTTGGTCGGCTGCTAACCTGAGTGTGTTTTGTTTTAAGGAGTAAGGGAACAGGGGAGGGAGAAAATTTAACCTTAAACTGATCAATACCAACGTTGGACAATCATAATAGGTATTTACTATATAAAAACTTAAAAAACAATGAAACAAAATACAGGACTATGTAGCACTTTAAAGACTAACAAGATGGTTTATTAGATGATGAGCTTTCGTGGGCCAGACCCACTTCCTCAGATCAAATAGTGGAAGAAAATAGTCACAACCATATATACCAAAGGATACAATTAA